ATTTTTTATTCAAAATGTATGGTTCAATACTTCATTACTGGAGTCCACTTGACCTACTTAGAAATCACAAATTTCAGCAGCCGAAACTTAAGTACCATGATAAGTAATAAAATTACTCGCCTGTTGCAGTCAGAGGCACGCCATGAGCTATTTAATCGTTAGTAAGCAAGCATGGATAAAAGTTCCTATCGAAGTTTTCTGCCTAGTCGAGAAACGTTCTTTGGGAAGTTCAATGATCTGGGAATTTGTGGATACTATGAAATACATCCACAAGTTTCTTAAATTATCGTTTTTAGGGAATCTGCACCAACACAGCACTTTTCGTATTACGTTAAGATAGTATACAATATGCACACGACCAGCACAAAAACAGAATATTTTTATTTTCACAAATAACGGAGGAAACTTTGCGTCCAAGATCTCAATGCAACATAAATGCGAGGAAATACACTTGCGCTAAACTCATAACTCAGGCTACAATACAATTAGATAAATAATGGCGGCAATCAATATCGATAATTTTGTCAATTTGATTTGACATTAATTAACACAATATGGCGTTTTAAAATGGCGTCCGTAGCCAGAGAACAAATTGCGACGGTAGCGCCAAGTTGCATAGAATGGAACTAAGCTGTCACGGGCCTGTTCCATTATAAGAACATTTAATCGATAGACTATACAAATTATATTTTTATTCCATGATGAACTCCGACATGCTTCCCTATTTTTCTCAAATATTGTTACTCTCTCTACTAATGTTTTGTTTTCTTTGCTTTCACATTTGACACTGTCATTTATTAGTTAGTTATTAGTCAGTAGATGTTTAGTCAGCTAGCTATATTCTACCTACTCAACTTTACTCTTTATAAACAAAAGAAAATTGCAGTCTTTTGGAAGAAATATATCTTTTGTTAATTGATATGTAAAATATTATACTTTGTATGCATACAGCGTAGGATTTAAACAACATAGTTGAACTTTATTATATAATATGTAACTGATATCTATGTAATACCTTTAATCCACGAAATAAATTATTTTAATTCTGATTCTGATCTATTGTTCATACATGTCGGTTTCTTAACAATTCGTTTAGCTTTCCTTTTGCCAGGAAAGTAAAAATATAATTAAAGTGAACAAGGGCTATGAGTTAGAAATAGTGCCTTTATTCAACCTCTACACTTGCTTAATAGAGGTCTCATATTATGTCTTCAATTAAGTTCCATAGTTAAACAACAAAAAACCCTCATATTATAGTTACGCCATCCGTAATGACCCTAGGTGCTACAAAGCTGTACTAATGATATAGATATTAATCATAATTATAGCTTTGATTATAGATTATGATTATAGATATTAATCACGCTGAAGCTGTGGAATAAAATTTTGAAGTACATTTTATTTTGGATACCTCCTATATAAGTGATTTTTTACCCGTCTATTCTACCGTTTGGGGTGTCGTTGGATAGGCCTTTTAAGAATAATGGGGTAAAAAAGCACAAACTAATTCACATTGCACATAAACTTGACATACTAATTTCGCTCAATTTTTAGTTAGTAGTTATTATAGACCTACAATTTCATTCGTGGTAGGTACTCTTGGTTTACGCGAAGGTAAATTACGGTCATGCAAGACGCACGATGCAAAAAGACAATGAAGAGCTTAACGTACGTAATTATTGATATAAATCAAGCCTACTTATTGTTGTTTTGCGTCGTGCATGAACTTGGCGGGACGTACAGCAAGATGGACCGTGAAAAAGACGCTTTAGTTACTAACCGCTTATAGATGAGCAGTATGCGTCTAGATGGATGTTAGTGTTAGTTCACTCCAAAAGTTTATATTGTGTTAATTATATATATTCTTTGGTTCACTTACTTACTATTGGGGGTTTTGGCGAGAACTTGACCGGCGGCGGATTGCTGCTCCTGTATTATTGTTTAAATAATGGTTTGATGTGAAATTTGATATGCAAAAGTGGTGCGATTTTGTGTATTAAGTGTCTGCGCATGTGAACTATTAGTGGAAACGGTGAAACAAGTGCTCTGATGGTGATGTGATTCTCAAGATAAGGTGTCTGTCTGCTTATGCGTCTTAAGATACCATCGCCAACTGCCAGTTGTCTGCTGGTTCAAGTTGCCGTCAAAATCTCCCAAGGGCTGCACAATGTGACGCATCAACATATTCTGAAGCATTGTACTATGAAGGATAATTATACATTGTAATTTCAGGCTCAGAAGGGCTACAACCCAGAGCCGTAAAGCCAGTTAAAAATCCTTCTGTAATTCATTCGTCACAATCATCTCTATACTCTATGACAATCATTCATTTTTTTTTTGGAGTTTATGGCCTGGTATCTAGACCTTTAGGCCAAGTCTTAAGTATTTTTATTCGGTTTATTGTAATTTCCCCACTCCTTCATAGTATACTGCTTCACAATATGTTGATGCGTCACATTGTGCAGTTCTTGGGAGATTTTGGCGGCAACTTGATCCAGCAGACAGCTGATAGTTGGCGATGGTATCTAAAGGTGCCTATGCAAACAAACAGCTTATCTTGAGAATCCATCACCATCAGAGCACTTGTTTCACTGTTTCCACTAATAGTTCACATGCGTAGACACTTAATACACAAAATCGCAACACTTTTACATATCAAAGTCCACTTCAAACCATTATTTAAACAATAATATAGGAGCAGCAAACCGCCGCCGGTCAATTTCCCGCCCTGACAATCATTCATCGTTCAAGTCTGTGTTGCCATTTATACAGATTTCTCCGTATTTATATAGATTCGGTGTGTAATACAGATTAGCACTGGATACAGATTTTTATACAGAGTTTTCTAACTCTACTGATTAAATTACCATAATATTGTACTTAAAACAGAATGAAGCAAATATATGACTATAGAGACTAGACCGCGTAACAGACTTATATATAGATTCTATTCTTTATGGTTTTTTTTCACAACGTAGTAAGTTAGTAGTATTGTGCATGCTCGGTCATTTTAAAGATCGCTCCGTACTAGTTCATTATGGACAGTGAACTAGTTCCTCCTATTAGTTCTATTAGCTCTATTCGGTCATCAATACTCCTAAGCAGTTTAAACTGTGTCTATCTGTTAAATCTGTATGGAATGGTTATCTCATTCAGTGAGTCTCAATCTCAGTCGTTCAATATCTGCTGGAATCGTAATGTTGTATTATTACTCTTACACACACACACTTGATAATTTCTTGGTCAAAATAAAAGTCCCATATCCATAACATGAGAAAATAAAAAGCATCCAAAGATGCAATTAATATTGGAACAGTAATAAAAAAAAGCACAAAAAATACTCGTCAAGAATTGTTATAACATAACTACAATTTTATTACATTTTTACGCGATCGCAATTGCCGGAACGAAGTCAAGCAAATGATGTTTGTTTGTATCTATTTATTAAATATTAAATTTAATAAATTAAATTATTTGCAAACAGCGAGTCTAGCATTTATTCGGATGATAAGCTAAATTAGACGTTATCGCATTGATATACCTAACAAGTATCTTTCTATAAAGTCTCATTTTAACGGATTTGATCAATGGTACGATTATAGGAATTCGTCGGCTCTTGTCCGAATGATATACCTACTCAATTCACCGACTATCTCGTTCGCTTGCTCTCCTATGTTCTCGCTCGCACGCGTGGTCTGCCGTATTGCGAGTTTAAGTGCACTAAAAGAGGTGTTAGACTGATTAACAATCAGAGCTCGGAAACGTTTCTTCTAGTACAGTGTTAAGATAAGTTTGCTATTCGTTCAACGTTCGCGAACTACACAAGGCAGTTTGTATGGCAGCTTTACAAGTGTCACTCGCTTTGCTCAGGAAATCCCCCAAAGATTTTTGCGTGCTGTCCTATCCAATGTAATTCACTCTCGCATTCGTCGTATCGTATATGCGTAGGTAATACGTAAATATTTTAAAAACAGATAAAAACTTTTATGCAATATTAATATTGATTGTGTTTTTATAAACAAAAGTGATGTTAAAGTTTAATCGGAATTGGATTGAAGGTTCTTCCTATAAGGCGTGGTTGAGACCTAGTAATAAAGATTATTACTTTGCTTTTTGTAAATTTTGTTACACTGATCTTTCAATTGGAATTGCGGTGAAGAATGATCTTTTCAGACACACGAAAACAAACAAACACATTAATTCTAATCCTGGTGGATCTAGCTCGCAAAAATTATTATTGATGATTCAGATCTCGAAACCTACTGGTCACTGCAATAAAACAAACTGTAAAGTCACTGCAGCCTGCGATCCTGCTAACTACAGTAATCAATTATATCCTACGCTGTCCAAATTTGATTTAGCAATCTTAAGTCTACCTCATTTCAGTGCCGCCGTAGAAAAGATCACATCCATAAATAAATATTTAATAAAGAGACAACAACACAATAGACAATACAGATACTATTGAAAGTCTAACTTAGTTTTTAGCTCTTTAGTCTATAGCCTAGAGGTTGATAATAAATTACTGTTAAAATTTAACAAAAATATGTAATAATAAAGTAATTATTAGTTCGTTTGATGTTTGAGTTTTAATATTTTGTTTCTTTAAACTAATTTTTCAATTTTGCTAATAAATATTTAGTGTATATTTTTTTAAATCGATAATCAAACCTTATCACGTTAGTATTTATCCCTTGATTTTCAAAAGAAGCATTGATGATGATGATTAATAATTCTATTTAACTTAAATCTGAATAGATTTAATACAGATTTTATCAGTTTCTACTACAGATGAAAGATTCGAGGCATCTGGCAACACTGGTTCCAGTAAAGAAAGTTTCCTCGCGCCTACCTTACCGCTCGCGACAAGTGAAAAAATAAAGTTTAATTACCAATTGCATAAAATTTAAACAATATTTTAAGTGAATCTTGATAAAGATATATGAAGACTCAAGACTTGTAATTGTTTTTAACATTAATTATTAACTTATATCGTGAAAATGGCCATGCAACCACACAGCAAGAAAAGAGTGTGCTATTACTACGACAGTAAGGTTTTTTTTTATTATTTAGATCTGCACATATTGATATTGAATATAATTTAAATTAATGTTTTGTTTTGTATTGTTAACATTTTTTATAATTATAACTTTACTATGTTTTATTTATGTTTAATTTGCCTATTCTCATCTTAACGTTTTTATTACATTGTGTATCAAATCATTTTATGGCGTCTGTATCACATTCTCGATTGCTATTGGTCACTAAACTGTTGTTCTCTTTTCGCACTTAGCGGTACAGGCTGTAATGTGTCAAGCCATGAAATGAATTGAGTAACATATTGGTAATAAGTTAAAATTGATTTCATGTTAAAAATAATATAATTTATAAACTTTTTTTAGGTGATATAGGCAATTATTATTATGGACAAGGGCATCCTATGAAACCACACCGCATACGCATGACACATAATTTATTGCTCAATTATGGCCTATACAGAAAAATGGAAATTTATGTATGTAATTAAAAAACAAATATTTTAAAAGTTTTCATATGTGCAGATTTTAATAACGTGATTTTGTATTATGCAGAGACCTCACAAAGCAACTGCTGATGAGATGACAAAGTTCCATTCCGATGACTATATACGTTTCCTTCGTTCAATTAGACCTGACAATATGACTGAATACAATAAACAAATGCAAAGATGTAAGTTGAGTGCATCTTACGTTATTTAATCTTTCTTCAAGTTTATTATTATAAATATCTTAACTATTATGTGTAAGCCTTAAGTTTGCACCATATAATTTACCTTAGTCCTGCACTAGGTACACTCTTGTATTGTTTCAGTTCTTTACCACATTTGTCCATGTAATGTTTCATTGTTGGATATGGGCCTTGATATAAATCAAAGATGAAAATTTTGACTTGAGATTTTAGTTGAGCATGTATGTTAGTTATTTAAATTAATATTTTTTTTAATTTAGTTAATGTTGGGGAAGATTGTCCTGTCTTCGATGGCCTGTATGAATTCTGCCAGTTATCAGCTGGAGGATCAGTTGCTGCTGCCGTTAAGTTAAATAAACAGGTTACTAATCACAATCATAATTTTTTTATAACTATATAATATAAATTAGAGGTCCTTAAAAGCAAGTAATAGTTCTAAGAGTTAAATTCAGATTTTCATTATTTGAGTGCCGACAATGACAACACACCCTCTCTATTTTTTGGATATTTATAAAACAAACTATTTCATACAACTTTATCCCCTATATCAATGACTTTTGTGCTTATCTTTTTAAAATAGAATGCTTCTTTTCCAGTAAAATGGGTCTCCGGTTCTCTACGCTCACCATATGAAACGCAGCACAGCATTAAGCTGCTATTTTACACGAGTATTCTGTGAGAGCGTGGTCCTTCCCCGGTCGAGCCAACCCATTCGTGCTACAACTATACTATTAATATAGCTGCAGCATGGCTCTACCATGTAAAAAATTTGAAAACTTCCTCCATGGTAACAGTTTTAGCCGAACTGATCGCGATCGGACCATATAAAAACCGCGACGAGCGGCGCCGGGACGTGCTAGGCTATTGTCGCCGCATCGTCCGGATGTTTGTGTGAATAAGAAAAATGTATTTCACACATGTTATTAATTCTACATATATTGTTAATTTAGATATTTTTTCAATAAAATCTTTTTTAGGGGTAAATTTACCACTTTTATATTACAAAAAGAATATAGGTTCTTGAAACAACAGTATTCTGAGATGTATGTTCAAGATAAAACAGATAAACATATACTTTTCCACTGCCATAAATTTATCTAAAAAAATGTTTGAGACAAGCATATTTGTATCTTGTCAGTGTCCTAAAATATTTTAACAAAAAAGCCAATGTGTTTACCAAATTATTGATTATGATTTACATTGTTTTATTGTAGATTTTTATTTGTTTTTTATACACAACACTTTTATATATTCCACAGGCATCTGAAATCTGCATTAACTGGGGTGGTGGTCTTCACCATGCTAAAAAATCTGAAGCATCAGGATTTTGCTATGTTAATGATATTGTTCTTGGTATCCTAGAACTGCTTAAGTATCACCAAAGAGTACTTTACATTGACATAGATGTACATCATGGTGATGGTGTTGAAGAAGCATTTTACACAACTGATAGGGTTATGACTGTGTCCTTCCACAAGTATGGAGAATATTTCCCTGGGACAGGTTAGTAAATTAGAAATATTTTATACCCTAAAGTAGTATTGCATAAAATTTGTTTTATGAGGACTGAACTATTTTCCTTAACCTTTAAGTATGAACACATTTTTTGTAACATGAGCATGGACATGGGGTCTGACAGACTCCTACATTGTTTGGAGGCATTTGATATCAATTGTGCAAAAAAATAAATGAAAAAGAATTTATAATGGATGCTTCAATTGTAAATAATAAGATTTTAAATAGATATGAGAAATATTTATTCCAAAATAGAAATAATTACAAACAAATCAAGAAAAGGCACTTTTTGATCTTAATTGACACTGAGATCACTTAAAGTTCAAAAATCAACATAATTATATTTTTTTCTTAAAATCTAATAAATTTTTAATTAACAAACAACAATGTTCATTCTGAATTGCAAACGAAAAAAAAACTGACATAGGATCAATTACCCTATAATTATTGGCATGCTTTGCACAGGGGGCTTGAGAATTGCAGACATATTTTGGTATTTTGCATGCTACACATTTGTAGGCAGTCTTTCTGTGGAGTTTTGGTGGGAATAGGTTACAAGGTTTTCTCTTCCCTTGCTCTTTTTCAGCTTTGGTATAATTTGGGGGCGCGTCACAACCTAAAACGCGCTTTATAGTGATTCTCAATTCTCTTGGTAATGTTTTGGTCGAGATATAACATCTTTGCATATGCGGTACTACTAGAGAATGAGATAATTTATTTATAAAGATACCTTGATCTATAGCCTTATTCTGATGTTGAGCATATAATATTATGCTAGTATTACGTCTATTTCACTGGACTATACAACCTCTTAAACTACTAAAAGCTACTGAGACATGCACCATGAAATCAGCAAGTGCGAAAGGTCTGAGAAACCCCATGTCCACAGTTAAAGGATAAAATTAAGCAGTATTTAAATCAGAATATTTGTTGTTAGGGAAATATTTATAAAGAACATCGGTCACGGCCCATACATGCTGTGACCTGGCTATAAAATATCGCGAACATGACTAGTGTATGGATTAATCCGTTCCCCCTGGGCACAATTTAAATCCTAAATTGAAAATATATTATTTAAAAGCAGAGGATCATAGAACGTTACACTTATGTATTTCGTCACTTTTGAGGTTACAATGTAGTCATGTCTGCAGCCATGACTACAACCTCAGCTAAAACAATTGATATGAAAACTATGCAGTAGTATATACTTAACTAAATAAGTCAAGTCAATGACTAAAACCACAAAAATGAATCGATAACCTTTCTAATCTTTTCACTGCTAAAAAGACACAGGTGCATTTACATTTCACGCTTTGACAGCTCTCCTGTCATAATACCACAGACTGCATAGATACACTCATAATATGTTCCCTTCTAAGTATTAGTGCATTCTATATTTACTGTCAACCTATCATTTGCAACTTATTTCTGAATATTTTCCATCTAAAAACGATATTATATAAAAATAAATAAAAAATCTACAATAAAATCTAGTATTTAAAGAAGTAAACGCATAATGGTAGTGTTACTTTAGTGTTATGATGAAACTTGTACCACAAATTAAAACAGAACGGGTTTAGATGTGTTCAAAACCTATAAGAAGTAGTAAATAATTAAGGTTTTTCATTACAAAGGTTAATTATTTTAACGGCTCCAATAAAATAAGTTGAACCCCGTAATTTAATATACACCTAAGTCACTATTTTTTGACGTATCAATCATTTTTATATTTTGGTCAGGTCATGTTTGACCGATGTTCTTTTTTAAATAAACATATAACATATTATATGATATATCATAACATATTTTATATATATATATTTATATTATTTTGTGCCGTTTTCTTCATCAGTCTGTAAGAGTCCACTGCTGGATATATGTCTCTCCCGTTGTAGGGTTAATTTGCGATAGTAGTAGAGGTAGAGTCAAGCTGCTGCTATATTATGGTTGTAGCACAAAGTCGACTCAATCAGGGTAGGACCACACTCTCACAGAATACCAGCGTAATGCTGCTGTGTTTCGTATGGTGTGAACCGGAGACCCTTTTTACTGGAAATGAGGCATTTCATCTTAGTCCTCTGGGGTGACAATGCATCTGCATTTTGAACCTCAATTGAGTATAAATGTAGATTTTTTTGAGCCACAACATCCGCTTTCCATCAGTGATATATGCATTTAGTGTATATGCTGTTGTTATTCTTAATAAAATAATAATAAAAATCAGGTTAACTATATGGTTATTTGTCACCATTATTGTATAAAAAAGTAAAACTTATTAGACAAATTCATGATTGCAGTATCAGACAATCCTTGAAACCAACCACTATTTCCATCACCAATCACGTTATTTACACCTGACAAACAAAATGGCTATGCTGCCATCTATCAGAAGCCTTAAGTTCTTTCTGATATATCCTTTAAACACCTTTTACAGCACCCAAGAATTTGATGAAATGTTTTGTGTGTGTTTGAGTGGGTCCTTGCCCTTGGATGGCTTAGATTCACAATTGGACCCTGTAGGTGGCGCTGTTGTCGAGATTAGAAATCACCCGTACGAAGTCGGCAGATCGCTAGTCTCAAATAAAAAAATAATTTAGGAGATACCATTTAAGATTTATACAAGGAAAAACTTATAACTAACTATTGTTATAACCATTTATGAATTATTGTCATTGTACGAGGGTGGATTGAAAAGTACTCGGCCTAACACAGATCCATTCAATTCTAAAAATCAAATCTACACACATTATTTAGTTCAGTTCAGACTAGTTCATTGTGTGAAGTTCGAAACGTGTGCGATAATTAGTTGTGATTTTATAAATTTATTAACAAAGTAATCGGACATAATTTCCGCGAATGGAGCAAATCGAGCAGCGTGCCGTCATTAAGTACCTCCATAAGAAGGGGCTATCATCAAAAGCCATCCATGATGACATGGTCAGTACATTAGGCGATTGTGCTCTGTCATATTCATCCGTCAAAAAATGGATAGCAGAATTTAAGCGTGGTAGAGAGAGTGTGAAAGATGAACCCCGCTCTGGAAGCCCTTCGACGTCAACTACTGACGAAAATATTAAAAAAGTACTTGATTTAATAATGGGAGACCGCAGATTAAAAATTAGAGAGATAGCCGAGATTATAGGCATCTCTTATGAACGAACTCAAAACATCATTGTCAACGAGTTGTGTTTCCACAAGGTGTCTGCGAGGTGGGTTCCGCGACTGCTTTCAGTTGAACAAAAAAGGACGCGATTGACTATTTCACGCGACTGTTTGGAGTTATTTGAAGCCGATGCAGATGATTTTTTGAATCGTTTTGTTACTATGGACGAAACATGGGTTCATTACTGTACACCGGAAACAAAACAACAATCAAAACAGTGGAGAAGACCTGGTTCACCACCCCCTAAAAAGGCTAAGTCGATTTTGTCGGCAAATAAGGTGATGGCTTCAGTATTCTGGGACTCGAAAGGTGTGATTATGATTGATTATCTTGAAAGGGGTCAGAATATAAACTCTGATTACTACTGCACCTTACTACGTCGTTTACGAGAGGAAATAAAAGAAAAACGTCGAGGAATGCTCAGAAGAAAAGTCCTGTTTCATCAAGATAACGCCCGTGTTCACACGTCAGTACAGTCAATGGCTGAAATTCACAACTGTGGCTTTGAACTGTTACCGCATCCGCCGTATTCACCTGATCTGGCACCATCAGACTTCTTTCTGTTCCCTAACCTAAAAAAGCACTTGGGAGGTCAAAGATTTTCGACAAACGACGAGGTCAAAGCAGCTGTAGACGCATATTTTGACTCTAAGGAAGAATCATTTTTTTTCAACGGTCTAAATGCTTGGAAGGGGAGGTGGCAAAAGTGTATTGAACTTGATGGTGATTATGTAGAAAAATAAAAATATAACTGATTTAGTATTTGTTTATTTTCTTGGTTAGGCCGAGTACTTTTCAATCCACCATCGTATATTCATAGGAGCTGTTGGTTTTCGAAATAAATTTAAAAAAACTATGTATTTAAAAATAACTTCATTTAAGGTGATCTGCGAGACATTGGCGCTGGAAAAGGTAAATACTATGCTGTAAATATCCCCCTGCGCGACGGCATGGATGATGAATCTTATGAATCAATTTTTGTTCCCATCATTTCCAAAGTAATGGAGACATTCCAGCCAAGCGCAGTGGTACTACAGTGCGGCGCTGACTCACTTACAGGTCAATATTTAGAATTTACTATGCTTATATTCATATTTTGAAAGTAAAATAAATGTGAAAATTTTTATTTTTTATTTCAAAAGTTATACTTAAATATTTATTTCAGGTGACAGACTGGGTTGCTTTAATTTGACAGTGCGTGGTCATGGACGTTGTGTAGAGTTAGTAAAAAGATTTGGCCTACCATTCCTTCTTGTTGGCGGCGGCGGGTAAGAATTATATTCATCTATTTAAAGTCCATTAAAGCATTTGCAAACTTTTGTACAGAACTTTTGAAGGCATTAAACAATATCACAACTTTGCATTTTTTATAGAAGGGTGGAAAATTATCACCCAGTTCACTTGATGATAAGTGAATGCTTTTATGTGACACCTACCTATCCTCAGTCAAGTTTCGACTAATATGCAAGCATCATTATCATGTCATACAGGTATCCTTTCTGAATGTGGATATTTCCTAGTTGAGCCGACCAATATGTGGTACAATAATTATATACTGCAGCTGCACTCCTACCATGTTATTTTATAATTGAAACAAAAAACAGTTATTATAAATTTTATTTGGTTTATTAGAAAAACTACTGAAACCCATTTATTTTCTTTTTATTCACATATGCCATCGATCACTAATAAAAAACTAGATGCACAATCCCATACAAAAGTTCTCTAAAAACTGTCGCCAAATGTTTTGACGTAATTGTAGTTGATATAAATATATATTAATGTAAATTCAACCTTAAGTTAAACGCCTAAAGTTGTATTGACAAAGCAACGTACAAAAAGCAATAAAATTTTACGACCGAAGCTCGTCGCTTGGACAAGGAGAGTGGAGTCGAACTGCACAATATTTTTTGTTACTGTAATTTTAATTTTACAATTTTTTTAAACTTGTTTTAAATAATTGGTCTACTTAATAAAGCATATTCTATACTATTCTATGGTGTATATGTGTAATGGTTATGTTATTACCTGAATGTAAATATGCTTTTGGATAGGGCACCATATTCATTTAGTAATGAAAGTAATTGAAACAGTCATAATTATTTATATATTCTTTATCTTGTGTGAAAAATTTAAAGATATTGCTTGACAAACAAGTTATATCTAAATATAATAGTTATTAAATATAAAAAGTAAGTACAGAAAGTTCTTGCAAAATCTAATAATATTATTGTCCAAATTTTGACGTAATGTTCATATTTACAGATGTTTAAATAAAACGGATAAGACTGAATAATTATAATGATTTCTTATATTTACGCGTTTACTACACATTTAAATGAAACTAGTTTTACGGTTTTTAACGCGTATATTAATTTATTTTATATTCCTGTCGTTTCGAGTACTATAATATTTAGAGAAACAGTAAAGAACTCTCATTAAACAAAAAAAAAAACAATCATACTTTAATAATAAAAGAATAAAAAAACAATAGCGTTTCCACAAATGGAACAGAATCAACGCATATACTTACCTCAAACAATGACGACTTATTTTATTAAGACTTAATTTAAAAATACTTTTACGATGATTTCTTGACAAAATATCAGTATTTACAATACAGTTATAACAATTAAATAATGTTAATATTAATACTTACCGTAAATATGAAATTCCATCCTTTTTTAGCGTACTGGATGTGTGATTTTTACACTTTTTGAACGAGCACTGAGGCATGTTTACTGTCGGAGCATTCGAATGCTACTAGATCAAATGTGCACCCATATGTCCGAATGGGTGCACATACGGTTATGCCATTTTTTGTCACTGATTGTGTATCTAGTTTTTATTAGTGATCGATGACATAGACTAATAAAATATATAAGCTCTTATGAATCGTCAAGCAAAAGAACATAAGAGAAACACAAAAAAAAAATACAAGTTAACAAATCAACTAATTTTAACAGATAACATTTCTATAATGTAAACATTATATATATAATTAATAGACATAAAAAAAAAAACGCTGATAATTGAATATAATACAAAATAACACTAATTTGTTAAAGTTATTCTGTTGAGATTATTCTGTATGGAACTTGACTGACTTTCAAATGACCATGGGTTTATGTCATTAAATTGTCAATTGTATAATATGCTTTTCTAATCAAAGTGTTTTTTACATACTTTTTAAATTTATGTAAAGGCAAGTCAAGCATTGAATCAAGTATTTTGTTGAAAAATCGAATGCCTTGTGCCATAAGTGAATTGTAAATTTTATTTTTATTAGTCTAAAAATGGTATAACAAGTTTATTTTTATTTCTAGTATTAAAGTCATTATTTATTATATGTATGCATATTTTTCCTAACAAATAGTATATTAGAGTATATTATGTATTGAGAAGCAACCGTTAATATACCGAATCCTTTAAATCGTTCATTTAGAGACGACACTTGTTTACCCAAGTTATAAATGGAATGAACCACTCTCTTTTGCAAAACAAATATCATATTGATATCCGCTGCCATACCTCATAGTAATGGGGCATAGGCAATGGCAGCGGATATATTACTATATACCATAGGGACATAACACTATGGAAACAACTGAAATTTGCATAGTAAAGCTAATAAGTGTTAGATAAAACTGATCTAAATTCAAAATAATTACCCCATATATTGTATTTATCAGGCAATTTATGAAGATATAAACTAGTACAAATTGATGATCTGACAAAAATATGATAACTTGTAATTATCTGCCTTACAATCAAATAAATGACTGCAGTATTTTATTTTCTACCGACTCCAAAAAGGGCGGAGGTATTCAATTCGACTGTATGTCGTTTTTTTGTGTTACCTCATACCTTATTTCTAGGCGAACCGATTTCAATGATTCTTCTCTTATTTGAAAGCTGGTGCTTCTCATGTGGTCCCATATAAATTTGATCAAGGTCTGACCAATAGCTTTTGATTTATCCTTAATAACTCATATTGAAGTCGGTTGTAAAAAAGTTTAATTTTACCACTTGTTTACTAAATTTTTATTTCATACAGTAATAAGAATTAACTATACAACTGGTAAAAATTGTAGGACTGATTTCTTACATTTATGGGAATACAGCACATTTCCCGATATTTTGAGTGCTTTGCAGAATGTTTTAAATAAAACTATAAATATTTTTTTTACAGATACACAATAAGAAATGTTTCCCGTTGTTGGACATATGAGACATCAGTGGCACTTGGTGTAGAAATAGCAAATGAGCTGCCTTACAATGACTACTTTGAATACTTTGGTCCCGATTTTAAGCTCCATATATCACCTAGCAACATGTCAAATCAGAACACACCAGAATATTTGGAAAAAATAAAAAACAGGCTGTTTGAGAATCTTCGCATGTTGCCTCATGCACCAGGTGTTCAGGTGGGTTAAACAAAATAGTACTAATAGTGTATTAGATATTCATGTTAATTGAAAAGCTGTCAAAATATAACTATTATGAAAATATCAGTAATTGTGATAGTTTCCAGAAGCAAATGTTTTATTTGTATATTTTATTTATTAAAATCTATTATACCTAACTTAAAATTTAAAACAATACAATAGTGTAAGTTACAACAGTACTGTCTTTGTGCTGTTTAACTAACTAATACATACGCATTGAGTTATATGTACTACGTACTAGAGAAGCCATTCCAAACAAAAATTGTGTCCTACTCTATGTCTTCGCGCATGCGCGGGAGTAATAGTCGCGCATACGCGAAGACTTTAATTTGATATAAAATAAGATATTAATATAATATAAATATAAGAATTTAATATAAAATACATACTCTTATTTTAATCTAAACAAACATATTTCTAAATAAAAATATAATAATTATTATTTTATTGAATTCACAAATCTTCAATTTACACAATATTTAGTTTATAGGGATTGCAGTACAGGTCAGTTGAACATAGTCAATGTTCGGAATGGCTTCTCTAGTACGTAGTACATATAGCTCAATGTACATACGTATATCTATATTATGATAAGTTTCTACTGATTAATAATTATATCTATAATTTATATTTATTAGGTGCAAGCCATTCCAGAAGATGCTGTAAATGATGAATCTGAGGATGAAGATAAGATTGATAAAGATGAAAGGTTACCACAAAGTGAAAAGGTAATAAACAGTTTAGAATCAAGTTTCATTGACAGTAAATAAAAATACTATTTAAAAATCCTTCAATGATGTGGCACGATGACTTTCACTCGGGACTTTTAACAGTATAAATAATAAAATCTATTAATAACAACCACAGTCAGATTTTGTGATTGTTTTTTTAGCTCTGAACCAACATTGTAAATATGACTCAGTTTGATCCACAAATATATAATTAGGTATTAACTTGGCTACAGCGCCACCTATACTAGCATAGCTATAACCATCATCTCTACAAAACAAAATATGTGTGAATATGTCAAGTCACTCAAAATTATTTAATATATAAAAATGTTCAGGCAGTACAGTGTGAGAAAGATGGCTTGTCTACACAGACCAGCTATCTTTACTACTTTTTATCTACTGACTTCAAAAAGGATGAGGTACTCAATTCGACTGTATGGTTTTTTTTATGTTACCTCATAACTTTTCTCTGGGTGAAACGATTTCGATGATTCTTTTTTTATTTGAAAGCTGAGCTGTGATTCTCATGTGGTCCCATATAAATTTGATCAATAGTTTTTGAGTTATTCTTAATAATTTATATTGAAGTCGGTTGTACAAAATTTTTAATTATATATAAGTATCATCCTCAATGTTTACTGCTGGACACAAGCTCCTTCTAATGGTGTAGGTGTTGCTTGTCGCCTTATTCTGATCGTCGTTCTATCTAGCGAGTGGTTTTTTTATAGTATAAGTGTGACAAAAAAGCACACAGTCACCTGATGGTAACGATGCTGTGGCTCATAGACATATACATCTTGACTTTGATTGATTAATCCAAATTCTGATTTGTTGTCATCCCTGAGAACTAAGATACGGAAGATGACTGACCACTGTTGCTTTTTCCGAATCCCAGTAAGAGTCAGTTTTTACCAGACTGCCCAAGAAGGAGGGTAATTTTTCGAGTGTACATACCACCGAGTGTTTGTGAAACGCTCCCGAAAATAAGGACAGACGATAGTACTTTGATCATGGGTGAGAAATAAAATCCATACTGAGGAAAAAAAATCATCATTTCACAACGTTTTATTAGCCTTATTCACGCTCCATCATGTTAGTACATCTAAATGAAACGATAATTTCATTAAAAAAAATCATGAAAATACTTAAACATAAAACCAGCAGTGGAATTACAATCAGTTGACTAGGTCAAAGTACGCCCGGACGCCGAATTCACGCGGCTCGCAGCTAGCGATGGTACCACAATACCTAATAATTTACAACACTTGTCTAAATACCTGACTTATCTACTTAACCTACTATTTTGCCAATGTGCTTGTTTCCACCTAGCCACTTTATTCACAGGTTTAATAAAGCAAATACCTGGTTCGATTCCCGGCTAATAAAAAAATTACTTAAATGAAATGGTAACAAGGTAAGTCATGCTTATTTATCCATCGTGTAGGTATTTTATTACACAGCATACCGATTGAAATCCTAAGTAAGTATGAGATTCTACAAGGCACATTAACATGTTGCCGTATTCACGAGCACTATAAACGTAACTACACATTAGGCATTATTAAAACAAAACAAGAAAAACCAAACGCAATAACAAGAATGTAGTAAACAAAACGATTGAACTGACGCTCACGCGCAAGTGATAGTCAACACGGAACTGTCAAAAACTAAATAAACGCACGAGACATTCGTCCTTGAAGCACCGTAAAACCACAGACCGTAAAACCTTTACGACATTGCCAACGCTTAATTTATTTATAAGTTTAGTTATCCCTTCGACCGGTCTTCATATGGAATTTAGAAGTTATGGTTGTCATTTTTAATACAATTACACAATCAATTGTACTCTGACGTAACTAGTAGTTCTTTACTACAAAAATTATATTGAAATTAATAACCGTACTTAATTGGGTACTCAGTACTCACTTACATAATTATAAACACTATTTCATCGTTATCTTTGATTTTGTATAAGAAAATTAAAAATGAAATGGTACTGAATAATTTAATAGTTAAAATCAATTGCAATTATGATCGACAGTTAATTAATCTATCAGAAATAATTAATGTAAAAAATAATACTTTTACTTTATTTTAATTAACTTTCCGTTTTTAATCCGACTAATACTTTGAATTTAAAAAGAGGTACGCCAAAATTATTAAAATTTTTAATTTTTTTAACTTGCAATTTTTATAGTGATTACCGCATCTAATTCTCATGTCGCTGGCAAACTAAATTTCGGTGCAACATGGCAGCGTTGCCAACACCAATTTGTCAAATTCCCCGAAAATTCATGTCAAATTCCCCAATTTAAGGCGATACTGCGAAAAAATGCACCTTTCATCGAATAGTATAGGAGTATGACACCACTAACGAAACTGGAATTTTGATACAGGTAAATTCATGTCTTCATCTTGAATTTGCTTGTTCTAAAACACGATTGTAAAATTTTGACTCGATCATAATTATTTGCGAAAACACCTCCAAAAATCACTATAGTTGAAATTACAACGAAATTAATTAATCTATATGCTTGGGAATCACTCAAATACATTCATAACATCAATATTCGTAATTTACTTGCTCATTATTTTCATTACTAAAATCAATCATTTTTTTAAAAATATTTTAAGATTCTAAGCGATTTCTGAGCGATTTGAATCGTCGCGGACGCTACGCAATTTTAGACCTTATGACGGCGTTTTTGAAGTTTTTATAGAAATTATACTTCACTCGGGTCAGTCCGACGATAGCCCGCTTCAACGGTTTTCGATGTGTCGCCTTAAGGACAAAACTTCGACAGATTCTCCACAAATTCCCGTCAATTTTATTTTATAAAATAAATGAATCAATTTTCAACTAATGTTATAAGGTTTACTTTTTAACTAACATTTTTTTCTTTAAAATTAAAAATTAAAGGAATGAAAAGCATTAAATGATACACAAAAGTTGCCGAAATAAATCCGAAAATTAAATGTGGTGCAATGAATATAATTAAAAAAAGGGCGTCATTCGATATTCATAAGTAAAGAAAATGTTAAGATAAGTATTTAGATTTCTTGAAAAAAGATTCTGACTTGGCCCTGGCTATCGATTTTCAAAATCACCGTGTTTTCCCCGCATAATATCACGCAATTTTAGGAATTCCCCATATGTTGCCAAAGCTGACATGTGTAAATTCCACAGCGCGAGGCGACACGAGCCGGCTGGGCGGCGGTAGAGCGTGTGTGAAAGGGAAGGGTAGAGTTGAGTAGGCATCGTTTCGCACAGAGCTAGATACATAACGAGTTCGGCGTCACCGAGAATATTGACCTTATTTTCAGCTGATTTTATGACTTATTTATTTTAAATTTCACTGCTGGTTTAATGTTTATGTATTTTCATGATTTTTTTTAATGAAATTATAGTTTTATTTAGCTATACCAACATGATGGGGCGTGAATAAAGCTAATAAAACGTTGCGAAAAGATGATTTTTTTTCCTCAGGTTCGATTTTATTACTCACCCATCATCAAAGGTATAGTTAGTACTATCGTCGTCTTCTTAGCCTCAACGACGGGGGACTCCCAAAAATATTTTTCACTGAAACTATGTACAGTCGCCTCGGAAAGACTTTATTCAATGGCTGGGAACATCCAGACTAAAAAAAGAAATCGCCTAAAACCAAAAAATTTACAAATTTTGTTTCTTAAATAAAAATTTGCCTATTGTAAATTTTAATTATTAGAACAAAAGAAAATCATCAAATAAATTAGTTTTTTTCTTACCATGGCGAGATATCCGTATTCGTATTCGCCGAATAGTAGGTTTGATATTCGTATTCGTAAAAGTAGTATTCGTTGCATAACTAGTACGAGGGCGGCACTGAAAATTTCGGGAATCAAGGAAATGCGACAACATTACTATTTAAAAATGTATTTATTGCTTTTCGAAGTATTCTCTGCGAAATTTGATACATTTTTCCATACGATGGAAGCAATCATTGAAGCAACCATTCCATTCGGAAGTTGGGGTCTCCAAAATGGCCGTTTTGTAGGCGTCCACAGCTTCTTCAGGTGATGAAAATCTCTGTCCACGCAATTTATTCTTTATTTTAGGGAAAGTATAGAAATCATTAGGGCTTAGGTCGGGGCTGTACGGCGGATGGTCTAATAATTCTATGTTTTCTTGTACTAAAAACTCTTTTGTTCTGTGTGCGGTGTCAGAACTCGCATTGTCGTGATGGAGGATGATGGGGCGGTTGCAGTTCTCTTTACGGAGTTCAGAAACGACCTGTGGCAAACAAATGCTGGCATACCATTCTGCATTAACCGTTCTTTGTCCCTCAAGAGGAATAGTCGTAACATGGCCGGTTTTGGAGACAAACGTGGCCACCATTTTTTTTGCAACACTCCGTGAACGAACAATTTTTGTTGGCTTTAACTCATTTTCGAACACCCAAACTCGTGACTGGTTTTTTGTTTCGGGTTCGTACGCGTATATCCAGGATTCGTCACCTGATACGATATTGTTTAGAGCATTTGAGGACCTGCGTGGAATCTTTCGAGAGTTCTGACGCACCAAGTAACGCGAGCCCCATTTTGCTCTTCACAGAGCGAATGCGGTATCCATCGGGAAAACAACTTTTTTACACCTAATTGTTCATGCAAGATTATTTGTATTTGACTCATGCCAATGTCTAAAGTTGCCTGAATTTCGCGGTATGTCACATGTCGATCTTCCTCAATCAGCTTACGCACAGCATCAACGTTTTCTTGGGTGACTGCAGTTTTTGGACGACCTTGACGGGGATCATCACTGAGCTTGACACGTCCACGTTGAAATTCAGCAAACCAGCGATAAATTGTGTTTTTTGATGGGGTTTCATCACCAAATGCAGAAATCATCCGGTCAACACACTGTTTTTGTGTTAAACCACTTCGAAAGTCATAATAAATCATCGCTCTTGAATTTTCTCGAGTCAGTTCCATTTTCTCAACGACTAAACAAGTTTGATAAAACCTTGTGGCAAGACCGAGAATCTTTTTTTAAATAAATAAATGGTATTCAATTTTTAAAACCAAGGAGTTTTCAATTAAAAAGAATTTAATATGACAGGAATAGTGGAAATATTCTATTCCCGATACTTTTAGTGCAGCCCTCGTATTAATACATTAACACACTTAACAGCTAAAAGCTGATGAGTGTGCTTCATTTATCCAATCTATACTTAAAGGTGTTCACTGTTGGAGCATCAATCACATTTTGTGGTAGTTTGTTCCAATTGGTGACAACATGATTTGAAATAAAATTCTTTTTGGGGTTCCACTTGGCAGCCCTATGGGAGGGTTTAAGTCAATGTCCACTCAGACGTTCGTTGCTATTCAGTAAGAATACATTTTGCAGGTTTGGCTTATCATCTGCGGCATTCTAGTGTTGTTTAGTTAAGCTTTTTTAATCGCTGTGCATATAATTTTTTGCAGTTATTTTTCCATTTTTGTTGTGTCTTTGAACATTTTCCAAGAGTGTTATCTTTATGGAAATATGGGACTCCTTAAGTAAACTTTATACAGAGATCTTATGAGTGTTTGGTAAATCTTGATGAATGTTTTAAGAGTAAAACACGTAAACTTTTCCGAATTTGTTCATGTGTTTGGTGTCTATAAGCAAGAAGCACTGGCATAAATTAGTTGGTTTATATAAGATTATAATTCCTTAGAGGGAGTGCATTTTGTTTTTTAATTGAGAATAGAAACAGGTGGTGCGATGGTGTGATCAGGTGTGATTTCATCAGGTGGACTATGTGCTTGTCAATCAACTTTACTACTAATGCATAAATAACAGTACAAAACAGTGTCAAAAGAGGTTTATAATGTATATATTACGTGGTTAGATTAGGTAATCAAACAAACGTCGGAGCGGTGGAGAGGTGTAGCGAGCAGGGCTCATGTTATTGTGGCCGGGTAACAGCTGTAAACAAACTGTGTGCAGGACAAGCGCATCACGGGCGAGGGCGAGCTGTCGGACTCGGAGGACGAGGGCGAGGGCGCGCGCCGCGACAACCGCTCGTACCGCGCGCCGCAGCGCAAGCGCCCGCGCCTCGACAAGGACCTCGCGCAGCACAAGGATGACGCCAACAGTCAGTAATACTATCTTATTCTATAGCTATACCAACTACTGTGTGCACGATAACACTAGGATTGGGTTATATCACAACTTCACTCTATAAAGTCAATTTACAGGACCCCGTCCTGATTTGTTTTAAGAACAAAGCAAGGAAAACAAAATATACGGAATTATAACATGAGCAATTTATATATTACGCTGACTTTTATTAAATATTTCTTTGATTTTTTTGCAGATCCTACGCTACTAGTAAAAGTACAAAAAGTTTAATTAACCTGACCTTGAATTTGATAACAATCATATTCTCATCGTGCATGCATAGTATGCGATAAGACCACACTAAAAGTAATCAATAACTTAAACACGCTAACTTCACGGACTCGCGTTATTACTGCTAGCGATTAATATGTTAACTGTGTCTTTTTTATCACACGCAATAATGTCAAAAGCAGTTATCGTGCGCTTAGCTAGTATTAGTGCAGGTGTGGTTAGTGTTTGGGCCGTTTTTTTGTGTCTGTGTTACGACCTAGATATCGTAATTTTTTTTATAATAACGCAACGGCTGTGAGCAGAGATGCACAGTCTTTACTGTTGAAGCGTGTGAAAATTGCAAATGATATTGAAAAAAACGTAAATCAAAATTAAGGTCAATTTGTTGAGGTATCAAATGCAATAAAAGCCAAAAAATATTCTTTATTTGTCATAGTAATATTGTTGGCTGCATTTTTTAATGAATAATAAATTAGTTTTTGTTAATAAATTAATTGTTTACAGGCGAGGACACGAAGGATGATGTAAAAAGTGTCAGCAACATGGAAGAACCAAAGAAAGATGTACCACCTAATGCCTGATGCGGGCGATAAGTGACCCAATGAAGCACAATTACAGACCCCACAGTGTTGTCTTGAAAACAAAGGCAACTTTGAACATAGTCACTTGTATCATTTGTGTGTCATTGTCACTGCAAGTGTATGTGCTCTCATAGGATGGACCAGTGTCAATCAGAGTTAAGACTTAAGGTGGTGAATTTGGTGAGATTAGAATAAACAAACACTCTTTTCCTACTATTCAGTACTTTTATACTAAGTCTTTGTGTTCACTACAAGTTAATATTTTATGCTGAATGTATTTATTTCTAGACAAGATCTGCCATTCTAGGAAATTATACCAGAAATTGGTATAATCGTATTTTGTTTGTTTCAGTGTACATATTTAGTTTATAAATACACATATCACTGTAAATTCAATCATGTGATATGAGGTTTATTTTATATAACATTATGATGACATGACATTAGATTTGTCTTATCTGTTTTATGTTCTAAAAATTTGAATGATAAAAGTAAAAAGAAATGGAATAACACATGAGCAAAGTATCTAATATTTTTTAATTTGTGTATACTTCTTATAAATCTTATGTAAGTCTTGTAACAGAGAGTGTTGAGACACTCAGTGTATAGAACAATAATCAGAGTTTATACACCATCTCACCAAATTATAGATGTTGTTTTACTTTTCGCTCAGTGTCTGTGTCACTGTCTTGGAGACAAAATGTGGTGTGTAGACACAAGTACCAATATACAATATATTTGAGCTGTGACTCTTGCTCTATAGACCGATGTAGAGCCATTATTAAGTGGCGAAGCTTGCGAAGTCACTTATTGATTTCACGATGTCTGTCCGTCTGTCCCACGATTATCTCGAGAACGGTTTTAAATTTTCAAATTCTGTTTTCAGCATTCGATTACTGATCACCCAGGCATCTGAACCTCCTATTTTGAAACTGATTGCTCAACGGCAACCGTTAGAAACCGCTACAAAGCTGATTGCTTCGCCACTTTGCTATGCTGTTAGCTTGCTAGGTTTATTATACTTGTAATTGGATCTAAAATTTTGCCTGATGTGATAATTTTATCCTACAAACTTGTCCATTTATCTTGTTTTTAAAATTCTGTTGGACGAGATTTGATAATTATTGTGAAAACTTCTCGATTAATCGACTGTAGCTTAAGTATCGCAATCTGTGTGACGGGCGTTGCGTAAGCTCGGTTTTGTAGTACGTGGCCCGCAGCTGTTGAAAAGCGCGAGGCCGAGCGTCACGGCGACTTTTTTATTAGGGGGCCGCAATTTGGGATGAGTTTTTGCCTTTTTACCAACTCTCGCCGAATTGACTATATTATATGAATATATGTCCATAAATTTACAAGTGTGTTTTGAAAAGCACAACACTCGGATGTGTATTTACTGCACAGCTCTCAAGTGGTAGTGTGGTTCTTAAACTACAAATTGTCATGTCTTGTAACAGTAAATGCACCATACTATTACACTAGTATATTATATACAAAGGATTTTATTACATTATATATTCTCTCAATAATAAAACAAGGCAAACTTCATATTGTAGAAGTCGATTATGGTGTGCATTAATTAAAAGTACTTTGATCATGTGTTACCTAAGTTAATTAATATTATAAGTTAGTAACTTACAGTCCAAGATGATGATGATGGAAAAGGATCCAATTTAAGTTTGTAAATAAGAAAATGCTTTGAGAATTAAAATGATTAATTCATTTCTCATCGATTTTAATAGAAACCAATGGTTCCTGTAAGTGATGTCTGACATTTATTACATTATGACATTTTATGACATATAAAATCATTAAGAGTTGAAAACTTGACTTTTCCATTGCAACATTCCTACAGCTTATTGATTTGTGACATTAATACCCCTGAGTTGCCTTTTGTCCATTTTTATTTATATTGATACAAATCATTTGCTTTAATTCAACTCATATTTTTATAAATCAAGGAAAACAAGGAAAAAGTTTATTAATGTCGGATGAAAATTAAAACAAGTAAAATAAAAAATTTAAGTATGTTTTGGTTTTATAATTAAATTGGGTTCCGATTTTGATTAAGTCGAAAATCATTGTCAATATTATTTATATGAAAAGAAATATTTCAGAATCTTCTAATATGAATAGGATTTGCAAGAGGTAAGTATTTTTACGATTAGACATAAATGTGGCATATGATCTTGTTATAGTAATATGTGTAATGCACTAATTAATTAATTGATAGAGTATTTTTATTTTTATATGCAAGATTAAACAAGGTCAATTTATCATTTGACTATACTCTCAAATCTTTAGTATCAGCCATAAATAAAAATTAATGTAAGATGCGGTCTGTGTGCATAGTTTAATATTGTTATAAAAAAATATGATTTTTATGTAACAGTATTAAAATAATGAAAAATGTGACTTTTGTATTGAATCACCACAATTCTAATAAGAAGAAATGTGTTTATATGATTAAAATTCGGAAATCCCCCCGTTTTAACGCCCTGGCGACTTGTCGACACCACAACAAACAAAATTCCACAACCATAATGATGTTTTATATTTATGTGAACATAACCACCTTTGAAACAAATATGACGACTGTAAGGCAACAATTTAATTCCATTTCGTAAATTACACCCAAGATTTTCTATTAATAATAATTATAGGAAAGCTAAAACAAATTAAAAGTAATTTAACTCGATGGTGGTGAAGAAGGCGAGTTGGATGTGGTCTGTGTTTAAACCTACCGACTGAGCTAACAAGTCGTATGAGTGGGAGTGCGCATATGTGCTGGCCACTCGGTCTAGCAAATAGAATAGGGGCCGAGTGGTAGCATCACCCTCTTACTAGGCCTGTGTGCCTGTGGGCCTGGCCGACCACTACTCGTTACGTGTAATCATCTTTCTATAATATTGAGTCTACTAGTCTGTTTGTTATTACGATTGCATTTTGTTTATAGAATACAAACTATGTTCTTCAAAATTATAAAACATAGAGCTGTGTCGAGTGCTGAAGAATACTCAGCGTTACCCGTACACGTACATACTTCCGTTTTAAAGTTGAAGAGTTAATTTTTATAGACTGATTTTCAATAGAAACATACACCGAATATTTTGTACATAGTGTTTTGTTATAAATTACATGAATAATAATTTCTTTTTACTGAAATATAAACATCTTATTTATTGTATGTTTCATGTTAAGAAAACACAATTTATGTTTGCATACACTGCAACCTTACGTGAGGGCGATAGAAATTTGTCGAAATTAAGTAATGACATGTGTTGTGTCCATATTTTTGTGTAAATGACTGATGGCACGTTTGTTCGTATGATAAGGACTGTATGTGGAACAAAATAAGACTGTAAATATAATTTTTATTTGTTAAATATACGAAAAAAAAAAGTAAAACTGAAATTCTGTTTTAATACACATCCCTTGTATTAATTTCATTTTATATTAAAAAAGTTTGAAAAAATCCATTAGAGATCCAAATTACTACAAAATGTGAACATTAGTATTTATATATTTCTAAATAAAACTGGCGTTATATTTTATAAAATATTTTGTTATTTTATTTAGAGGTTTTAATATGTGTTTACTTATGAAATTTTAAGTGGTAGAGCCATGCTGCAGCTATATTAATAGTATAGTTGTAGCACGAATGGGTCGGCTCGACCGGGGAAGGACCACGCTCTCACAGAATACCAACGTAAAATAGCAGCTTAATGCTGCTGTTTTTCGTTTGGTGAGTGTAGAGAATCTGAGACCCTTTTTACTGGATAAGAGGCATTCTATCTTAGTCCTCACGGCTGACAACGCATCTGCATTTTAATTCGCAAACGAAGATAGATGTAAATGTCTATGGGCCACAGCAACCACTTACCATCAGGTGGACTTATGTGCTCGTTTGTCACGTTAATTCTATATATAAAAAAAAATTGCCGTTCTGCAATACTGGTCATTTCAAATAAATTTTATTTTAAAAACATGGAATTCTTTTTCAAAATTAGTTTGTTTATTTTTATGCTTGTCTTTTTAGCGATATTTTCATTTATCTCAGTATCAAGTGATAATAATCCTCTTATAGTAGTCTGCTTCACAATATGTTGATGTGTCACATTGGGCAGCCCTTGGTAGATTTTGACGGCAACTTGAGCCAGAAGAAAGTGCGATAGTATCACCTAAGCAGACAGACCCCTTATCTTGAGATTCACATCACCATCGGAGCACTTGTTTCACCGTTTCCACTAATAGTTCACATGCGCAGACATTTAATATACAAAATCAAAATCGCACCACTTTTCTGCCGACTTCCAAAAAGGAGACGGTACTCAATTCGACTGTATGTTTTTTTTATATGTGTCTTAGATTAATGATAGGTCTTCGCGCGCTCTATGATATGTGTGTTACCTCATAACTTTTTACTGGGTGAACCGATTTCGATGATTCTTTTTTTTATAGGAAAGCTGATACTTCTCGTGTGGTCCAATATGAATTTGATCAAGGTCAGACCAATAGTTTTTGAGTTATTCTTAATAATTTATATTGAAATCGGCTGTACAAAATTGTTAATTTTAAATTATACTTAACAAAATCCACTTCAAACCATTATTTAAGTAAACAATAATACAGGAGCAGCAATCCGCCAAAATTCTCTCATTTGTTTATTGTTAAGCGTTACATATATTTTATTGCATTTGAATCATTTTCGTCATCATGGATACGTTAAAATTTCGAGTATTTATGGAATATGAGTACCATCGTGGTAACAACGCAGTACAAGAGGCACGCACCATCAATGACATTTATGGAGCGAATACTACAACCGAACGCACCACCTGTTATTGGTTTGCCTGCTTCCGTTTTGGAACTTTCGACCTGAAAAAAGAACCCCGTGGTCGTCCGAAAACTGGTCGTCAATGACGAATTAACCGATTCGTTGCGGCACCGATTTTTAGCACAACTTTTAGCTGTAACAAATATTTCACGACACGCCTAGCGTG